CTCATTGTTTTTGTTTTTGAAAATACAGGCGCATTTTGCAAATGCAACAGAAAATTTTCAATCAATAGGCATAATTTAGAAATCCCAATTTTAGAATAATTAAAACAGAGTAAAGAGGGGAATATTACAATAAAGAAAACAGAGGTGAAGTGAATAGCAGAGCAAACAGGGGAACACAAACTGCTAAAAACTAATTTTCTAAACACAACAGAACTTTCAATCAATGGGAAAATTTACTCAAGAAATCGATGATAAGGCGGCCATCGCAGAATCTCCCGGATGGTTTTTTGAAGTAAATCTGGCCGTTGGGGGGCTCAAGGGGCTCCGCCATCCCAGCAACGAGTCCGCCAGTGTCGGAATTCGAATCACCAAAATTGAAAACTGCTGGGAAATTGAAGTCCATGGAATTGGAGAGAGGTGAGAAGATAGAACACAGGGCAATAATTAGGAGGAGAGAGGTTTTGAGAGCCATGTCTTTTTGTGGGAATAGTGACTGTTTTTGTTGTTGTAGTTTTGTAGTTGTTGTAGTTGTTGTAATGTTGAGTTAACTACCTACCTTTCACAATATGTATAAAAAGGATGTGGTGGACTTTGTGTGTAGTGAAAGTTTGCTTTAGATTTGAGGAACCCAAAAACATTCAAGTTAATGTAGTAATTGCCAATAACATCCTTGTATGTTTCATGTGACCTGTATTAACTGGGTTGCACTAAACTGGGATGTGAATATGGCTTATATTAACCTCGTAGCACTAAACTAAGGTCGTTGTGAAAAAAAAAAAAAATTAATTTGATGTTAGGTCATTATCCATATATGATATTACTAATTAATAATAAATTATTATGTGGGTATGCTAAACCCCACTCTATATTGGGTTGTATGAAATAATGGCTATATCTAAATATTGAGGTTTGCATATCTTATGATTCGGTTTACTATTAAATTTTGATATCATATGTCAATGATAATGTAATATCACTGTTATATTAAATTTTTACTCACTTTTTTTTTTGAACAGTAAATTTTTACTAACCTGATATGTATCATTACCAAATGAGATAGATACAATTAGTACACATAGGACCCACCAACCAAACTATTCATATTTGTATTAATATTTATGTTCATAAGAAATTTGACATGAATTTTTACGTACTAACTGTCAAACTATTTAACACATAATCCTCCTTAATTAAGCTTGAAACCAACCCAAGAATGAAACACTGTGGATACTAATAACAATAATGGATCCTAACTTAGGCTTAGTTTGGGAAGACTAAATAAGTGCACTTTTTTACTTTTTATGAAATATGGGTTGGGTTTGGATTGGGTTTGAAGTGATGTGTTAGAGAGGTGATGTGACTTAAATAAGATGATGTGACTAAAATAGGATA